ACTCGTTTCGTGTGCCCACAGAAAGGGCTCTTTGTGTCTGCTGTGGCACATGGGCCACAGGTTCGCCACCACTGTGCTAGATGTTTTCACTGCCTAAGTCATGTGACTCAGCTTTCCATTTTAAGGATTCCAGATTTCACTTCACACACACAAAACAGACACATGCAATATTCCTAAATCTTTGCTCACACATATCATTTTTATACCCGATCATATTAAAACCATAGATTTACAGATAGACTGTTAAAGAACAAACTTAAATGAAACAGGTTGGAAATAAAGGCGAATAATAATACAATACTGACTTATTCTGGCACAATATCTTGATAGTGAAATGTGCATGGAATGTTTCCTCTGCTTTTAAATAAAATAGAATATTTCTTGTTTATCCATATACCTAGGAAAAAATTGTTTCATTCACTTTTCTTTTCTTTTCTTTCTTTCTTCTTCTTCTTTTTTTTTTTTAATGTTACTGAGATCAAACTCAGGACCTTGCACTTGTGAGGCAGGCGGTGGCTAAATCCCTGGCCCTTCCATTCACTTTTCTAATGATATAGTGTACATGTTTCAAGATTTTTCTTTTTTGAAAATGATTACAATAAACATCCACATGCACAACACTAAAGTGTGGAATATTATTTTTATAAAAATCATCTATGCATGTTCCAAAGTATTAATATGGACATATCTATGTATAAACAGACACATAGAAATATTTTACATGTAATTTACATGTCCAGTGGAAATAACATCATTTCGAATACTGTTCCTTTAATATATCATTTTAACCATTATGAAATGACTTCCAGCCTCCTAGGAAATGACTCTGTGTGTGTGTGTGTGCATATGTGTATAGACACACACGTATCACTATTTCCACACCTGCAAGGTCAGATATTATCAGTCTATGAAAATTGCCATGACAATAGTTAAAAATATTCCATGTTGACTTACATTTCTTTAATTTTTCATAACGATGAGCGTACTGTTTGGCTATTCTACCCATTCGACGCCTGCTATATTTCGTGTCCATTTTCCTCTTTCTTCTGTGTGATGTGTAAGAGATGATAGCATTATGGAGGATTTCATTCTTATTCGACCAACAAAGAAACGTCCCGGTTTTCAGTTTGTAAAGTTGGTGGTGAATTCACAAAACCCACCACGATCTGCAAGTGCAAGTGCTACCTGGAATCCGGCACCTTCTGAGGCCTCAGGCAGCCCAGGGGCGCCCGGGAATCTGTACCTGGGGAGCTCAGGGCGCCACTTCCTGCCCAGAGAGCTTCAGTCTTTTAGTAGATCGGGTCATTTCACGGTCTGGTAAACTGTGACAGCAGTTTGCTTCTTATTAAGCTCTTGGTATTTAAATTTTCATCTGCAGCGGGGGAAGATTGATGCGATGATTTCACTTTCTTGCCTCAGGTGTTGCAACCACACCGAATCCTCTCCCTCGCACGCACGCCGACTCGCAGGCGCCCTCTACCGGAGGAGCTGACCCTCAGACACTCAGCGGCCAGGCTGACCTTACCACACGCGAGCCCGCCCCAGGCGGGCCTGAACCAGCAGGTTTGCGGGGCCTTAAGGCTTGAGCAGATAGAGTACTTGACTACTGCTGCACTTAAGAATGGTGTGGGGGAAAAAATACAGACTTTTATTCAATGTTGAACAAGTTGAAATTTCAAACAAATTGAAACAAATTGGAATTTCACAGTTACCCATAGGGTGAGAAGCTACATAACAGAGGTTGTAAAGGAGATGGAATAATAATTACAAGGGAGGACACAACAAAAATGTGCTCAGGCAGAAACTGTTAGCAAGGATACTCTATATTTCCTTATAGTTTGGGCAATTTGTAGTGAAAACCTCTTTTGGAGCAAGTAATAAAGAATAATATGGTGGACTCTGCCCCAGCACCTCAAATCAACACCTTAACTGTTAGGAATAGCAGGAAAGTGACTCCTTATTATCGGTGAAGAGCACTGAGAAATTGTAAGTACAATGTAACTGTTCTTTTTGAAATGATTATGAAACAGATGCTCATATTTCCTATTTAAGCATCAAGAGGCTTTCAGCTTAGCATCTCTGTATTTATAAAAGTCTCCCTTCTCCCTTGTTTTTCCAAAATCAGTGTCCAAATCGTTATATGGACCCCCTTTTATGCAGGAAAACAAGTACATGGTTTCTCAGTTCCTAAACTCACAGATAACCGGAAGGCCTACACGGCCTTCAGTGAAGAGCTCTTGCTTTAGGTGTGACTGAGACATGGAAGTCAAGCACATCAGATGGGATAATGATTGTTTTGAAATATTGATTATCACTGTTCCCTCAGCATGAGAATCATCACACTTTAAACTAGGAGAAAAGCTGCCCTCTTCTCTTTTTTTGTTCCCCTGTCTCCATCTGCCAGAGAACCATTGGAGAAAAAATGTGGTGCTCTCCACAAATTCATAGACTCGAAAGTTGTGGAGAGGAAGAAGCTTTAAAGTAACCAAGGAGGACAGACTCTTGGGAGCTGGTTGTCAAAGCCTACAAAGTAGGCTGCTCAGCACTGATCAAAAAATTATCCTCTCAGTGGCTAAGTCCACTAATTAAAGATCTGTTAAGATTAATCTGCCTAATTAAAATTTGAATGCCACTCCCCAAGTGTGGCTGAGATTACCTATTTAACAAGAGAAATGAGTTTTCAGAGGAAGAAGGGAGGTTGGGAACCTGAAGAAGGTGAGATGGGAGATTCAGGACAGCACTGGGGACAAGGGCACCTATGGGGGAGAGAAATGAGTGACAGAGAGTAGAAAAGAAGATGCAACAAGACTGAAGACAAACCTCGCTGCTTTTAAAACTTATAGAGGGGCCAGTTCTGTGTCTACATGAATTTTTAAAAAGGCAAATGAATACTTGTATTTCTTTAGAGTCCTACTCAGCATCCAGAACTGATGAACTCTGCTTAGTTTATTCAGTCTTTTGAGTGAATTAGTTACATTTGGATATAGTGACTTTTGAAGAAGGACCTGAAAACTCAGTCTCAGTGGGTTGGGAAATAAATTTCCAATCCCAAAAGATGTGCTAAGTTACGGACTGCAATCCGTTTGTAAGTGGAACATGTCTGCCAACCCATATCAAAGCCATTTTCAGAAGGTGCATACCTATGTCATTGAGGAAGCAGAGAATCTGACTGTTAAATGAGACACTGTTTTATATCATTGAGCTGATGGCCACAGGGACCTTGAGCGTGAAATAACTAAAGAAGCCCTCAAATTTGGGCTAGCTCAGATTTCTTTTGCTTTTTCCATAGCAACTAGCATAGTGCTAGTCATCTGGTAGCACACTATGAATTTAAATGGAGTGCCTGTGCTGTGATTGTGTGCGTGATGTCTAGGGCTGGACAACGAAAAGTCTTAACTGAGTACAATGTGCAGCTTCTTCTGCCACAGCCCTGATTCTATACTGGTTAGTTCACGTCTGATTGGAAAGAAGGGAATTATGTCAGTATAATGTGAAGTTTGTTGGTTCTGAACCAATTTGGTTTTCTCTCCTGCCAAGGGAGATTACATAATGAAAACAGAATTGTAACCTTCAACCAGAAGGAGCTCAGCTTTGCACAGGCAGGAGCCCTTTCAGCTCTATTTTAAGAAAATTAAAATCGAGCACCTGCATGTGGAGGTCTCCCGGGGAGGCGCACTCGCTCATGAGAGGCGCTCCGCAGGTGCCGGGTCCCACTTCCTCCTGGCCACCCCGAACGGCCTTTTATCTTCAGAGTTCTTCAGTCTATGTGGTTTCAGTACCTCCAAGACAACACCTCTCTCTGCAGCACTGATGAATTTTTAAATATTGCCCAAGGCAGCGCTCAGTTTGGAGGCTTGGCCTCCCTGGGCTGTCCAAACTATCTGTGGTCTGAAAGTAGAGCTGTATAGGATCCCATCTTGTGCCCCTAAATCCATCTTTTCCGTAAGTCCGCGTGTTGTGGTGCAGTTTTGTGAAATGCGTATACTGTGGTGCAGTAGCTGTGCTTCATTGCCTGTTGCTGTTTCTTAGCTGCAGTCATCAAGTGTTTGTCGGCGGGCTGCTCTCTGCCCTCGTGTGGCAGGACCAGCGACAATGCTGACGGCCCTTCTGGTTGCAGGTATTCCAGGAGAGAGAACAACTGCCACCTTTCCTGCAGACACAAGCTTCACCCCAGCAGCCACCCTCAGCCCTGCACACGACAGCTCTGCTGCCTTACCTGCACACACCTCCAACACCAGCACCCCAGATACCTCCTCAGGTTTGAGCAGCATGTGCCAGGTGTCTTAGGCTGCAGCTAATGAAATGGAAACTCCAAACTCGAACGTAGCTCTTTAATTTTACTCCAAATATTTTCAGGTTTCCTGTTTTATAAACTTTCATATCTTGATGCTAAATTAGGCAAAATAAACTTACTAGTAAGCTTTCTCTGGGGGATATTTTGTTTTATTATTATAAAATAAACACGAAGTTCATGGCAAAGAAGAACAGACAACAGGCTTTAATAGCAGAGAGCCCTAGGATCAAATCCAGCTTCTTCAATTTTCTAGCCAGTCAGGACAACATACTAATACTTTTCCTTCTACAAAAATGGACATGATGTACTCTTTTGATAAGACTGATCAAAGACAGAATAAGCAGCAAGCCTGATGTTCAATAGACATTTTGAAAGAGTAACCTTTACCCCTATTGGCAACCCAAACAAGGAGGACCGTAATCGACAGGGGAAAGAATAGTGTGAGGAAGCTTGCGCACCAGGGAAGAATTATACCAAGAAAAGAATAGTTTTCCTTCAACACAGACAATGTTGAGTTTGTCAAATTCCTTGAAATGTTACTTATCTGGAAGCATGGTTTGTAGATGAGTCTTTGGTCTTTAAAAACAGCAAGTATCGATTGAAATGAGGTTGCCTAGAGCAAAGGTTTTCTTTGTGGCACAGGATTCCCTTTGCCCTCCAGGAGAACGGACTCATTAACTTTCATCTTCTGTTCCTTCCCTTGCAGGTCTCGTCTCTGTAGCCACCGCAGCATCCACACAGAGCCCTGCAGCAAGCACTCTCCCGCCAAGCACAGCAATAGGTGACAACCTCACCCCCAGTCATGCAGGCACCTCACCCCCACACAGCCCACCTCTCCGCCTTGGGCTGCTTTCTCTGCCCAGTTCAATGTAGTGTTTTGACCCCGAGAGCTCAGGAACTCTTAGATTGTTTTCCGTTTAGCAGTGCCACAGCTGATGAGATCAGGACATGAAGTTCCTCTACCCCTCCATGGTTGCAGTAGCCCCCCCAGGAGAGGTGTATTTTATGCGAACGTGCATGAGAAATAATCTAAACTGCTAGAACTTCCTTCTCTAACAGTGGGCTTACCTATTCTCTACCAGTGGAAAAGACTAAGTCTGTCGGAGGGGGTCTCCTTTCTAAGAGAGGAGGTTCAGTCAAGCAGGGAGGGACGTGGAGTTAAAGGATGGGGCCTCCCTAGATTGCCCACAGCAATGGCTGTGTCTGAAGGGGCGAGGGAAGACACAGCCCCTGAGTCTACCCTGCTTCCCAAGTGCTTGCAATCTAAGAGACTGGCAGAGACCCCTTAGCTTCCACATTCTCTAGTTAAATCCGTGGACTCACATAAGATACTATTTGTTTGGAAAGCATTTTTGCTGGCAAAAGTTACACTAGAAACAAGGCACCCCTTGCCTATTGTCTATTTTTTTTTTAAAAGAATATAAAGGATAAACTTCATTCTATAAGGGTTAGAGTTGTATACATCTACTTTTAGGTCAACAAAGGGGATGGAGACCATTCTGAGAGTTTTGGGAGCACGACTATTCAGGCGTATTGCCACGCCACAATCAGATATTTTACAAAAATGTTAATGTTATCAAAATTTTGTTTATTGCACTAATTTATAAAATTGTTTCATGTTACTGGATTATTATAACATGATACTTGGCAAACTCTGTATTATGTGTTAAAGCTAGATAGATTCTACAGTTTATCAAGTTGAAACATTGTAAATCACCTTTCCCCAAATACATGCTAAAATAGAATTTTAATAATTTACCTTCCTTTTCTTCTCTATTACAGTTCCTACCACAGCCTCAACTCCATGCGGTAAGTTAGTTTTTGTTGTTTGTTTGTTTGTTTTAGAAACGGTGCATGTCACTTTACAGTTGCACTGTTTCTTCATTCCAAGCTTTCAACTAGGCTCACTGGTTCTAAATTCTCAATAATAACTAGCTCCAGTTCTGAAGGCCGGTATTCAGCAGTGACAAGATTGTTGGATTTCATTTTCAAACCTGATTTTGAGTACCTATATTAAAACTTACTAGCTAGATAATTCTGAAGCCACTTAACTACAGCTGAGGTATCTGTAAAATAATATGATAGCAAGTTTGCTTTGGGATGGGGGAAGGATTCAGTGTGATGGTTAATATCAAATGTGGATAATATTTTGAAAGCTCATCAAAAAGAAAAACTGTATCTGTCTCTCTGTCTCTGTCTTTCTGTCTCTGTCTCTCTTTCTCTCTCTCTCTACAGGGGCTGGCTCAAGCCTGAAATCTGAGAACTGCTTGTATCTATCCTTTACTCATTTTCTTCCTCTTTTCTCAACGGAAACAAGCTCCTCCTGTGTGGTCAGGCATATCATTCTGTTCACTTCTAAATCCTTCAGGAGCTCTTCACGCAGTTAGTGTCAAGGTCAGACTTCAAGTGTCCCCGTTGCTAACGGGACCCTTCATGTTCAGCTTCTGTCCCTCTCCCCTGGCACCATTGCCCGTAGCTCTTTACTTCAGCAACCTTCCTGCAGCCTCCCAAACACAGACCCCCCACCTCTGCGTCTGCTCCCCTTCCTGTTCTATCTTTGCAGTTCTCTCCCCTCCCTCTTCTCCAGCCCCTGCATTTGTTCATGTATGTCCTGCTCACCTGTATAATACAGTGTGAGCCGTCTTCTCAGGAAACCCTCTTCCATCCCCCCGCTCGGAATCCACAGCTCTCTCTAGCCCCAGGTTATTTTGGGCATAACCTTGCCCTTGTTTGACCTCTGCAGTCCAGTCTGTGTGTGCTCCGCATTCGACTGCACTTCTTAAAAAGCTAACTGTGTCTGATTTGCTTTTTTATTCCTGGTGCTTGGGATAGCATCTGAAACATAACAATGGCTGAATGATTTTTGTTAAGTAAAATAAATGATTAAATTAATATTTGCTCAAAGATATTTTTACCAGTCAGTAGAAGTTATTGACAATGAATAAAGTTTAGGAAGTGTTTATTGTTGTCAGTGATAATTTTACATTAATTAAAGCGTTGAATGAGGGCCTATGGTTTCTGAATAATAAACATTCCAAATATTTGGAGAAATGTGTTACTACGTTTCATACAACAAAGGCAATTGTAAAAAAGAAGAGAATATTAGTTCGATGCTTTTCTTTTTTGAGACAGGGTCTTGCCATGCAGTTCAGCATGGCCTCGAACTCACTATGTAGCCCAGGCTGGCCTTGAATTTGTGGTGATCCTTCTGCCTAAGCTTCCCTAGTGCTAGTATCACAAGCATGCACTACCATGCTCGGCTTCTTTTGATTTTATTTTTTGTGTTATTCTTTTGTGGATTAACAAATAATTATTGAGCTCTTATCAATAACAGATATTATTCATGGACCCGGATTTATGGCAGTGATCAAATAAATAGACTGGTTTTACTCTCATGGAATTTATAATCCACTTAGGAAGACAGAAATTAAATGTAATAATTACTTAATATAAATTTATAAGCTGAAGTTCTTGAAAGGTGAAGAGAACTATTAAAGAATGATATGGAAGCACCTCATGCACATCTACTTTTCATATTTCTGGGGATCTTTTAGTGATTTGACTTTTTTTTTTTTTTGGTACCAGGGATCAAACTAGGGTCTTTGCATTTGTGAGGCAGGTGGCAGAACCACTGAGCTAAATCCCTGGCCCCATGATTTGACATTTTTGAAAATATATATTAAGGCATTTGTACTTAATGTATATCTATTCATTCTGAATAAAGGATAATTCTCATTTTTATTTTCTTTCAGTTGAAAAATATGGTGATGTCTCTGTGACATACACATATGACAAGAACAGTACATTATTTAGAGCAAAACTAAATCTTCCTGCTACCGCGACATGTAATTCTGTGAAATGTGAAGACTTGGAAAATCTAAGAGAATGTTCACATCCTAGTATTGAAATAGCTGATGATTCATGTCATCCACCTTCAGTTTTCCAATTAGATGTACCACCAGGTAAATATCCAGCCACTGGTGTTTGTATGTTCATAGGGACAGTACAGATCCACGAATGCATGTTCTAGTGAGCCCAGGAACCCGTGTGGTAAGAGAGCAGAGATCCAAGCTGAAGGAAAGAAAGTCAAGAGTGGAATTTTATGCTTTCCTAATCAAGTAAAAATCAGGAAGTAATATAAGCCTTCTCTTTATATCTTTAGTTACCCCTCCTACTTCTTTTACAGAGAAGTAGGTTTACTTTTTTCATTTTACTTCATTTACTTTCTTTTACTTCTCTTACACAGAGGTTCATGTAGATTTCATATAACTTATCTTACTAGGTGATTGTAGACAAGCTTTCTCTTTTCTGTCTTTTACTTAATTCAAGTCATTACACATTACTCATTTTATCCTTTTAGATACAACTTTGCCCTGAGTGTTAAGGAAAAACACAGAGTCAAGGATTTGATGTTTATGGAAAGAAACAAAAAGGAGAACAAAAAAAAAAAAAGGAGAACTAATCAGGCATGGTGGCGCCTGCCTGTGATCTCAGCACTTAGGAAACTGAGGCAGTAGGATCACCACTGGTTCAAGGCCAGCCTGGCTATGTAGTAAGTTCAAGGAGAGCCTGAATTAGGTAGTGAGACCCTGTCTCAAAATACAAACAAACAAACAAGAAAGGAGAATTGCAGTGACATTAAGGAATTTGAGCCGGTTTTGCCACTGCTGGAAGAGAGAAGAGACAGAAAATGCGAAGCAGTGTCTACTGAAGCATTTCTTAACCAAATGTATCTTGGAAGAGGGATTCTGCGCAATTGTCTAAAATATCTTATATAATTTAAAAGTTTGAGATTACTGAGGAATTTATTAACACTTCAAATATTTAGAATTCCAGTGTGTTTTGAGAAAATCCATCTAACTTATTCATTTTCCTATAATACTATGAAATAAGTCATCATTTCAACACAGAAAATGTCAATATTTAAAAATGCCTACCCTAAAAGAGAAGACCCTATTATTCCGTGTAATAATCGATCAATCAAAATAGTTAACAGAATCGGCTTACAAAAAAGATATAATTAAGAAATCAAAATGAAGTGTTTTAAAATGTACAAAACTATAGCTTTATTTAGATGTTTGCTTAAGTTTCATTTTTAAAAGTAGCATAATTCTAAATGAAACTTAAGTGCCTAATATTGAAACAATAATAAATACAGTACTGTAATAAACGTTAAATATTTGAAGTGATGTATGCTAATTACCCTGATTTGATCATTATCACACAATGTATACATGTATCAAAGTACCATCTCGCACACCACAAATTCATACAATTATGTGTCAATTAAAAATAAAGCTTAATATTAATGAAGTAATCAAGAAATATCAAATCTTGAGAGTTATTACATTTTTTTTCAAAGCACTCTAAATGCTTGCCAAATTCTATATCAGTGACTTTAGTTGAGAAATGTGCATATTATGTACTATTAATTGTCTATTTCTATATCTTCTTGACAGAATATGAAAAGTTTCAGTTAATTGACTGTACACCAAAAGAAGTAGCAGATACTTCAATTCATTTATGTTGGGAAAAGGAGCATTTTAATTGTACTGAAAATTTTAGATATGAATTTCAATGTGGTAAGAATGTAATGTTCATCACAGATTTTTTTGTTGTAGAAACTGTTCTAGATATTGTCCTCTATGCTCTTTTCTTCCTCTTCCTTTTGGTTTCTGGTATGTTTGAAGTCAAATAATTATTACCTATGCCACTCAAAGAGATTCCAAAATAAATACTCATCTTGAAATGTAAATATCAAAATAATAAAAGTTAATTATTTTACAGAATTTTTTTGATGATTGTTATACACCAGGTATTGCTGAAGAGATTAGGAGAGAAGGGTGTTACAACAGAGTGGTGATACATATACTATGTTAGAAAGAAAAAGAAGGTATAAGATTATTGGGTCAAGAGTCTACTTTGTCAGGCTTCTTTCAACAGAACTGGTACACAATTTCATGCATGCTTGTTTAACAGGAAAAGAGCAAGCACTCATAGGAGTGAATATGGTTTTGGATTGAGATAACATTTCCTTTTCAGTGTATTAGAATTTAATGGGAGAGACTCACCTATCCTCAGCATAAAGCCAGGCTGTATTTGGCAAAACATAAATCGTTATGTATGTGCACACATATGCTAACATACATACATACACACATGATGGAATGTGGCATTGGTTGTAATCATCATGTTAAGGGGAATAAGTGGCTGTGATATAAGCAATATAAGGAACGTAAAAACTAACACATATAGACTGACAAGAAAAATCATATATTTAGAAAATCTCTTTAGGCAAAGGCTGTGTGTCAGCTTTCCCATCACTGGGACAAAATATGTGACACCCACAATTTAAGGAGGAGTGCTTGATTTTAACTCATTATTTCAGAGGGTTCAGTCCATGGTTGGCTGGCCCCAAGATAGAAACAGCATGGCAAAAGGGTATGGCAGAAGAAAGCTTCTCAATTCACAGAAGCCAGGAGGTAGAAAAAGAGGGAAGAGCCAGGGGGAAAGGCATACTCTCAGTGACCTACTTCCTTCAAGCAGGCCCCATCTTCTAACAGCACATTCAGCTATGAACTCATCAGTAGACAATCCCCTGATGAGGATAGTGCCCCCATGACCCAGTCACCTTCTGAAAGCCCACCTCTGAGCATGTGACATTTTGGGGGCATTTTAGATGTAACCATAATAGGCTACCAAGGTGTAATCTAAGGTTTTGAGTACAGAATCCTAATCTAAGGCCTCATTCCATCAGTTAAATTAGAGCCACTTTGAAATTATACTTGCAAAGTATTTTTTTGAAAGTTGAGCATAGCAAAATCATTTTCAAGATTTTTGACTTTTTATTTGAACCATTGGCATTGGTTTTTAATCTAAGAAATATCATAGTGTTACAAATAAGGAAAAGAAAGAAAAGAAATATATATTTCTGCATAAATACAAAAGAAGAAACTTGTGTGTTAATATAACATATGCAATATTTCTTTCTTTCAGGTAATTTCCAATTTTATAACCAATCAATTGAATTAAAAGGCCTTCTTCCCAAAACAAAGTATAACTGTAGTTCACAAGTGTCCTATAAAGGCCAGAGCTACAGAAATGAAATTATATATGTCGAAACAGATTGGGGAGGTGAGTATATTACTTAAATTTATATGTAAAACTGCATAGCCTTTCCTGTCCTTTTAATTTTGGATAATAATAGAAAACTATGGGACTTTAGAGGACAAATTTTTAAAATTGAATTTAAAAATAAATTACTCAAGGCAAAAACTTATGCCAATTTTTTTGTTATTGTTCAAATTGTAGTCTGTTACGTTGTCATGTTAATAAGTAAATTGTTTCATTCTCTTTTTTATCATTTAATTTACCCTTCCTTTTATAATAGTCACTTCTTTTTGTATTTTTGTGCCCTCTTCCCCTTTGTCAGATCCTGCCTCTGATAGTAGTAAAATAAGCAAAAGAAACTCATAAAGCAAAGTGGTAAATCTAAGTATTGATGGCAAAATAGTAATTACTGCTTTCAAATTGCCATCAATGTAAGTAATAACACAACAATAGTACAACATGATAATGATATAACTGAGAGGTAAGATTATGGCAATTAATAGAGTCTGGGGAGAGAAAAAAGTTAAAAAGTGCTAAAATTCCACTATTATTTAAAAATATGAAGATTCTAACTAAATTTAAATTTGCTAGAAAAACGAATTAATTATATTTTTGACGATTTATTAATAACTGCTACAAAACTAAAAAGATGGCATTGCATACAAGAAGTATGTAGAGAAACATTTTCATTTCTCCTGAGCATATACAAGGAACTGAAATTTTTAAATCATATTTCACCTTTATATTTTGCATTTTGAAGGACTGCCAACTCTTTGTAAAGTGGATGCACCATTTTATATTTTCCCCAGCAATGTATGAAGGTTCCAGTTTCTTCACATCTTGACAACACCTGTTAAAGCTATCATTTGTATTTCAGCTGTGGTTGTACATGTGAAGTGGTGGATCATTGTATTTTGGACTTAATTTTCTAATAATACTGATATGGAGTAAGAGTTACGTGTTTATCGGCCATTTATATATCATTTATCTATTCAAATCTTTTGACTTTTTAACTGAAATTTTTATTGACTTCTGAGTTTTTAAATTGTTTTAGACACAAGTCCTTTGTTACATATGTAATTTTAAAATATCTTTTTATTCTGTGAGTGGTCATTTCACTTTTTCAATAGATTTTGAAGTATGAAAGTTTTAAATTTTGATGATGTTCATTTTACCTACTTGAATTTTTTGTTGCTCCTGCTTCTAGTATCATATATAAAAATTCATCGTCAAGTCAAAGACCAGAAAGATTTATCCTTATATATTTTTCTAAGAATTTTATGGCTTTAGCTCTTAAATTTAGCTTTGTAATCTATTTTACTTAATATTTGTATATGGTGTAAGGTGAGTGTCTAGTTTCTTTCTTTTTTATCGATCTAGTTGTACTAGCACAGGACATCAGTTGAGCTAGTGAAAACATTATTCTTTTTCCTGTCAGAGGATCTTACCAGTCTTATCAAAAATTAGTAGACCATAATGATATTTATTTCTGGGCTTTCAGTTCTATTCCATTGATTTACACACCTATGTTTTACTTCCGTACTAGATCATTTGTTACTGTTGATTTGTAGTAATTTTTGAAATTTAAAAATGTATTGTTAAATTTTAGTCTTTTTCCTTAAAATTGGAATATACAGTGGCCCTAGAAAGTGTACATGAGTTTTAGGATCAACTTGTCAGTTTCTATAAAGATTTCCACTGGGATTCTGACTGAAATTACAACGAATCTGGAGATGACTTTGTGGAGAATGTTCATTTAACGCTCTTAGTCTTCCAGTCCAGGAACATAGAGTGACTTTCTATTAATTTAAGTCTTCTTTAATTTTTATTTAAAATGGTTTGTAGTTTCAAATCTAGTATTTCTGTTGTTAGATTCATTCCTAATTTGCCTCCTACTTATTAATACCATTATTTTCTTAATTTCATTTTCAGATTATACAGTTAGGATATAGAAATACAACTAATTTTTCTGTATTAATCCTGAAATCTGGGTATTCACAGAACTCATTTATTAATTATAATACTTCAGGACTTGTGACAGAGCATACTAAAGTGATACTAAATTATTTATGGAAGGGACAGCTCAGGTGTAACAGGATACCAAAATCCAAGACTTCCCATACACTGCCAAGATAAACACAAAGCAAATAAAACTAAGTAAGAATACATCCTCAGCATAAGAAAAATTCAGTATTTTAATGTTAAATGTGAGAATTATTACAATTTTGACAAATAAGTGTAACAAAATAGAAATACTAGCTAACTAATTTTTATATTTGATTAAAGCAAAACATACTTCAGTGAGGGGGGGATAATCATTTCAACAAAGAATCTGGTATCTTTATGGAAAAATATGAACATCAGTTTGTACCTCATAACAGAGACAAAAATTGATTCAAAATGGTTTGAAGATCTAAGAGTTTAAATTATAAAATATTTAATCAATGATTTAGGAAGATATCTTTGTGCATTTAACCGTCAAAGCTTTCATAGGACACAGAAAGCAATAATCTTAAAAACTTGATAAATGGCACTTAATCAGAATCAAACATTCCTCCTCTTTGAAGTGATTAAGAGAAATAAGCCATAGATTGTGAGAAAATATCTGTAATTATTTTTTCAACAAAGGAAGAATTTCCAATATATATAGAGAGAGCTCACTCAGTTACAAAATACGGCATGAAACAGCCCAGTTAAAAATGGACAAACATTTTGAACACATATTTCATAAAAAAGATTTGCAAATGACTAATACAAGTACAAAAAGATATGCAACATCATTAGCCATCTGGGAAATGCAAATCAAAATAATATGATGAAATGATATTACACATCCACTAAACTGGATAAAATTAAAAAGATGACAATACTAACTACTGGTGAGGATGAGAAGTAATGGTCCAGCAATTTCACTCCAGATATTACCAAAGAGAAAATATTATGTTCACAGGACAAAGTAAATTCATTTATTATAGCCCCAAACCTGGAAACAATTCAAATATCCACCAACTTTTGAACCATGGATAAAACGTGGCTTACCTTTATATTGGAACACTACTTGTATTGGTCAGCTTTCCATTATTATAATGAAATACTTGAGGCAATTAACTTATAAATAGATAAAGTTTGCTTAGATCATGGTTCTAGAAGTTCCAGTCCAATATTGGGTGACCCGATAGCTTTGGGCCTCTGGTGCAACACCAGCTAGCAATAGTGGAGACCTCATCATTGAGCATACTACTAAGCTAATGAGGCATAAAGCAAAAAGAGGAAGATCCCGATGTGCCTAAGTCCCATTCAAAGGCATGTCCCCAATGACCTAAACATTTCTCATTGTACACCACTTCTAAAAGTTCCATTATCCCCCAGGAACATCACCTTGGGGACCAAGCCTTTAACACATGGACCTGGGGGAAGAGGACACTCAATAGTCAATCTGCAGCACTACTGATTAATAAAAAAGAAGTAGCTACTGGCATAGGCAACAATATGGATGAATGTCTAGACTGTTACATTAAATGCTATATGCTAAGATATAAATTTTAGTTATTTACATGAAATGGATGAAAAAGCACATTTAATCTCTGATAAGGCATATCTGAAGATATGTGGGGTTGGATTGACTGGGAAGTGGCACAGAAACACTTTGGGGATGATAGAAGTGTTCTACGGCTTGGTGGTGGTGGTGATTATATGGAGGTACACATTTGTCTAACACATTAAACTACACTCGAAATGGGTGCATCTTGATGTGAATTATGCCTCATACATATTTTAAACATTTAGGATATCCTTCATCTCAGTTTCTAATGACTACTAAGTTTTTCAGTGGTACAAACATGAGGTTTTGGTCACAGTGACATCCAGAATTCTCAAGATATCTGAAAAATAATACATATTAGAGATAGAGGCTGTCAGACATCTGCAAGTCAATGGAGTGCTTAGGTTCATGAATGTAACTCAGGAGTGATATTTACTTTGTTCAAGTTGTTTATTCTAAAACAAATTTAAGCCCGATACATTTCTTTAAATGTCCTTAGTAATTTATAATTAGTGAAAATATGGCAGTTAGTAATGTGTGCTTATAATACAAAGACTACTTTCATGTTTGATTTTTCATATAACATATTCTTATTCTTTTAACAGCTCCAGGAGAGCCTCAGGTTACTTGTAAAGGTACAAATATTACAGGAGAAATTGTCTGGCTTCCCCCAGATAAATCAAATGTATCTGGATTTTATCTTTCTTATTTGGAAACATCAGGTAATTTGTATAGAATTTAATTTCATATTTGGAAAAAGAAATGAAGAAACTGACAATAGTAGAAATGTGGATTGAACCAATGAGACATACAACTTATAGAGCATTTATGCCCTATGAGGACATTTTGTCGGCCTTGATTTTAGAACTGCTTCCATTCATAAAGGGCTTTCTAGCCCTAGATATAAAAAAATCCCCAAACATCTCCCAGATTTTCTTTTTATGCTTTGCAGTGCAGAACCTGGGGAAAGAAAATCTCTGGCAGATAATAATCTTTCCTGTCTTTCAAATGTTATGCAGATGATTTCTTCTATTTTGAAATCACGATTCAAGCCACCAAACAAAAAATGAACACCTTTCAAAAATGAATCCAGTTAATACACAGAAGATATTGGGTGAATACAGCTGAATTTTGACCCAGTTAACCACTTGATAATCCAGCTTATAGATAGACTTGTGGAAAAATAAATGTAGTCAAAGTGGGCTATGACTAGCTCAATCAAGAAACCTCCAAATGAAGCTATTTTGGTGAACACCCCCTGGACATCTTAAAGTATCTAAAATGTTTGTGGTAAATGACGGGCATCAAAGGAACATTGCGGATCAGGCTTCAAATCTGGGATGGTCCTTGCTGCTCTAATCCTTTACCTGTAGGACTGAACTGAACAATTCATACAATTCCATCTCTGTGTTTGGTGGGAAGGTGCTAGGCATAAATTTTAAAATTCAAAGAGTAAAATACCACCACTATATTACATTATCTTATGTTTTGATGACTTTGTGTTTTTAGTTGTTTGAATTTTAACAATCAAGCTACTGAAGCAATGTTAAATACACATATAGTTTTTAGCTCAAATGCTTTCAGGGATGAAATATGTTTTTTAGTTTCTGGTAATTTCAACAGTTAGGTTTATAATAGAGGAAAAAAGGTAGAAATTTTGTTCTCTTCTTTGAATCTTTTTCACTCTTCCTGGATGCTTTTCTCAGTTTCTACACTTTCTCTACTGCAGAATTGTTCATATGCCAGAGCGTGTAGTGGGAATGTAGTGTGCATACTGCTCCTTTGTATTCTATAGCACTTTTAGAAATCTATATTAATATTGCATTTATGTAGTGAGAATAATCAGGATGCAGCCAATTAGTTATTAGCAGTCTGAAGATTTTTGTTTGTGTGCAACTAGCATAACTCCTTGTTAGTTACTGTCACTGAGATATATGGCTGTGCAAATGGAGAGAATAGGAAGAAGAGGGTTTCATATGTATTCTTGCTCTAAACCTGTTATCTGGTGACTGAATCAGCCTCCACTCTGTGGCATGCACTGAGTCTTCTTTAAGGCCCTTTGCAGCAGCCCGTAGTGCATCGTTTCTGGGGGAACCAAAATTGTCTTGCCATAATGAGGTCCTCTTCCTTTTACCTATAGGATTATACTGTTGTTACAGTATTGTTACGGCAGTTTTAACTACTCACATTATTTCAAGGAAAATCAATATTAAAATATTCCAGAATGGTCTTTGAAATTTCAAGTTCATATTACTTCTTAATCGGACATTACATTGCATCTTTTCACAATTTATTTTAGTGTCTCTGGAATTGAGGGACTTCAAGGGAAAGAAAAATGCAATTGGCAGTTATTTAGTGTTTTTGGTTTGTAGGGTGTTTCATAATATTCTATTTAATGGTTTTTATTAAGTATTCTCTAACCGAGAGGAGAGGTGCATACAAATCTTTATAGTTCATTTGAGGAAACTGAGGCTAATGGAATTTAGTAAATATTCAACAGCTTGAACTGTGCTCTTCCTGCCATTGTGCTGGTCATGTTTTTGGCATGTGACATCTGAAGAAGCTGCCATTTTGTGCCATTAACGTAATGTTGTCAAGTGTACAGTGTAGAGTTCTCAATAATTGGAGAAGTCTGCAGATTTATTATTCAAATCCTTTATTATTCAAAGGATTAGTTTTCAAAATTTTTTGAAACCATTGTGCACCATTCAAGACCACAATGATGAGGCTGGAAATTATTTTATAGAATGTTTCTTTTTAAAGAAAAATTACCTTTTCATTTTCTTGGCAGTACAAAAATCCACTGGGTATCAGTATCAGTATGGTTACTCTATTTGAAATAGTGTTCAAGAAGAACTTTAAAATAGTCCACATCAAGAAATTGTTAGTGCATTTCCTGAGGTGCTTTCTATAAAACAAAACACAAGTGGAGAAGTCAGTGTCGATCTGGGCATTTCCATGGCAAGACGTATAGCTTGTAGGATGGGCCTTCTCTTGTAGCCTCTTGGAAAGATTCATAAATTCAAGACTTTACCAAAATTAAGTCCTTATTTGTTGCACACTACTTGTTATGACATCAGAGATCTGAGAAAAACTGTCCCAGCACATAGAGAGGGAAATAATGTTTGTGTAAAGTATTTTGGCCTCAGTCAAAGTTCTCAAAGGAAAAGAACCAAGAGAATAGAACAGAGTCAAGGAAGAGGAGTTCTTAGATGGGCCTACATAGTAGGAAGCTGGATAATTTCACAATGGCTGCATGTGAGAGAGCCGGGGAAATCACTGGCTGTTCAGTCTCAGGAGCTGGAAGTCTCAGAACAAGAGAGACCGATGATGTACTCCAGCCTGAGAGTGAAGGCCTGCAAGTCCCTGATGAGACACAGGTGCAAATCCACATTCAAAGGCTGAAGAATTAAGAGTCGGATTCTGTGGGCCACGTCAGCAGCAAAACACACACCTGTTAAAGAAAAGTTGAACCTTTGTGCATGAAATCTCCCCCTTCTTCCATTTTTTGTTCCATCTGGGTCCCCAGCCTATTGGACAGTGCTACCCTCATTCAAGGTGGGTCCTCTTCACTAGGTCCACTGGCCTACATGCCAATCACCTGGAAACAGCCTCACAGATACACCCAAAAGTGTTCTCTAGTAATTTTCTAGGTGACCTTTAATCCAGTCATGTTCCTGACAAAGATTAACCACCAAATTTCAAGCAAATAAATACCCCTACCTATCTTTCTAAGCACTGCAAAGTTTAAGGAATTAGTGATTTTAAAAAAATCTCCAATGACAATGTCTTTGAACAATGCATTGTTCAAAAATAAAACCAAAAATCTGAATTCTGTCACATTGCTTAATATAAAAGCTTGATAGAAATATATTAATGAAACTTATTTTGGTACAGAATGATTGTGAGATTATATAAGCCAACACCCATAATTAGGTTACTAAACAGATGCCCAGGTTGCTCTTAAAAAGTTTCTTGGGGCTGGGGATTTAGCTCAGTGGGTTCACCACCTGCTGTGCAAATGCAAGGATCTGAGTTCGATCCCCGGTACCAAAAAAAAAAAGTGTCTTGACACTTGGATCTTATCTCAATAAGAAGTCTGTTGTCCTAAAAGCCAGATTGTGTATATATATATATAAGGAGGTTTTAGAAATCAAGAGTAAGAAGGCTCCACCTGCTTCTCCCTTGAGCTCACACCTTTTCTGTCTTCAAAGAGAATTCTCATGAGGGACATGGAAAGTCTGAGCTGCCACATGTGAATCAGTTAACCCCAGTTTGGGGATTTTGAGGAAATAAGACTTTTAATCAGCCTAAAATAGCTACATCATCTTACTATTTACAATCCCATGGCAATATGCAGATATTACTATATGCTCCATAGATAAGTAACTAGGACAAGAAATGCATCGCTTGCATTGCTCCTTGCATTGCTCCTACAAGTCCAGCGCACATCTAGCTACCCCAGAGAAATGAGGTGTCCAGCACAAAGATGAAGCTTTGCCCTGCTGCAGGCACTTGTTGCTTTTCTACCCCAGACCACATGACTGAATCATACACTTGGAAATGTCAGACCTGGGTTCCATTCAGGTTTCACGCTCCCTTTCCCACAAGGTTATGGACATATTACTTGATATCATCTGTAAAATAAAAATGATACCAAGGGTGCCAACTTACAGGACCATAGTGAAAGTTACATTAATTAAAATGCTAAAAACAGTGCTTGGCTTATGGAGTGAATGGTGATTCATTGTATCTTTATTAATGTTATAATTTTTACTATAAATATGGACCAGTAACATGATTCCTTGCTAATCTTATTTTAACCCATCTTTTCTTGTGTCATTTGTCAACTCAAAAATCTCAGTAACTAGTGATTTTTTTTTTTCACTTAATCGATGCTAACTCTTCTGCATGCTAAGTAGCACTTAAATAAAGCCTTATCTCTTCTATGCCTCCCTGGCCAGCCATCCTTGTCAGCTGCGTCCCTAATCTCAGCACATTCCTTCTTTCATTTGTAGCATTTGCTGTTCTCCTTTTCCAATTCAGTTTTCACTCATCTGTCACCAGACAGTACCAGAGTGAGGCTTTCCCTAAGTTTCATGGCCCCTAAGAATTACTTAGTGGTTCAAATTAGTATTGTATAATACATCTCGCTATTGGTTTTTCACGGGGCCCCTCCCCTGAAGGTTCACAACAATAGTTCAGGTTTATTTCAAAGATCAGAGGCTGAGTATCAAAAAAGATTTCATAAAAAATTAAAACATCATAACTTAAGAATTTCATGCTATCTGCTGCAGACTGTTATCTCGGGAAGAAAACAGGGCATCTTCACAAATCTGTCTTAAGTTGGTAAATATTTTGTGTTCAAATTAGTGATACAAAGCAATAATTTTTGAGTATTTGAGTTTATGTATAAGAATTAAATTTATTCAGTATATTTTCTGATAATTTTATGTACTTCTGATATAAAAAGATTCTTATTTCTTACTCACTGTTTAGTTTGGACTTTGCTTGGAATAATACCATGTAGAGACCAAATTAAATATGTAGTAATCCTGACTTTTGGTGACTGAACTTTTCTATTTTTTTTTTCCATAGGAAAAGAAAAAGACAAATTTATCAATCTGAATGCGAACGTGACCAAATATAATTTGGAACTTTTGGACCCTTATACAAACTATCATGTATCATTATTTGCCTATGTCACAGCAAAAGTGCAGCGTAACGGAAGTGCTGCGACCTGTGAATTTCAGACAAAGCCTGGACGTAAGTTCTATGCTTTTATGCTCCTTTTCCTGATTGGCGAAGTAGAAAGAATGGATGTTTTAGCTCACAGTACATCTGTCTTTATGCTTCATTTGGTAAACATCTTGACCTGGCACAGTTTTAGCATCTATGGCTTATAATAAATTTAAACAAAATAAAGACATATCTGAGCTCTCTGTAGGCTTCAGATATAGTTATATGATTGTAGGGGCAAAGTGTGAGGGCACTTAATGCTACTATTTTTGAGATTTCAAGCATGTAAATATTAACTTAGAATTTTAAAAAAGGTCTAGTGTTGACTTTACTATCAAAAAACATTAACAGTCTGTCACCTGGCAGTATATTACAAAGCATGAAATTAACCTGTATTCACCTGATAGAACACTTCCTAAAATACAATCTTTTGGTAGCATTTTCTTTTTTCAGTGACACTGCACTCCCTATTATTTTATTTCATGCTACATTTTCCATTGGAGGTTGCAGTGGGTTTGGCTCTTGTCACCTGAGTGGTGTCTGCATAGTTTCCAAGCCCAAGCTAGACCAGCCTTGATGATCCTCTGAACCTCCACTGAAGACAGGGCCAAGAAATGGCTCTGAGGGAGGCTGCTCCATAGTGCCAGACACTCCAACCAGCACTTGTTAGTTCTGTTTAGGGTAACTGTTCTGCAGGTCATTTAGCTCATGAATTCAAGAGTCCAAGTCCTGGCACTCTGTGGTTTTGTTGTCTCCCCGAGTTTCAGTGATATTGCAGGAAGCAAAGACAGTTTGTTACTTGCTCGTGAAGAATCTAGCCAGTGTTTACCAGAATAAAGGCTGTCCTTCAGGACAGAGGGATTGGAATTGCGTGGGAGGCCTTACGGGGTTTCCAGTCATCATTATTTCCTCTCCCTCCACTTTTTCACTCCTTCCTCATTCTACACAGTCCCCTTCAGGGATTGCGTGAACTCTCATGGTTTCGAGTACAACCTGTATGTTCATACTAACTGAACAAACAGGTGATTTATTTTTGAATGTTTTGTCATTAATGTATTTTTATACATTTTGTCACTTATATGCTGTTATACCTCCAAACAAACACTTCAAATACCTTTATACTGTATGCATATTGTCCAGTAATTAAAATATTCACTATCCAGTGGTTAAAATAACCAGTTTTTCTTTATTTTGATAGGTCCAAGCCGGGTTCAGTCACTGCAAGTATTTCAGACTGCAGATAATAGTGTGGTTGTCAGTTGTAACAAACCTGATAAGATTAATGGCCCTGGTGTGAGTTATGAGTTGGAAGTCAGAGTTAAAAATGATCTGACTAGAAATGTCTCCAATAAGACCTGCACATTTACTTTATCAGGTCTTTGGTATTCAACAGACTATGAGTTTTGGGTAAGTCACAATTTCTGTGATCACCATAGTTTCAAAATACATTATAATGATTAATATCTAGTACTTGAATAATATGGAGACCAGTGCTCACATGAGAGCTCTGATATCTAATGGAGTCAACTTCAAGAAGTTTCAAATTTAAAAAGAAAAAGACTCCAAACTTTTTCCCTTGAACCAAAAGCAGTGGTTTAAAGCAAATATTTTATTAGAATATTTTACAACTTTGAAATATTTCACTTACAGGGAAATTACTCTTCTTTATCAAGAATCAAAACACTGTGGAGCAGTTCATTACTTTGTCATATCTTTTCTTTACCCCTGTTTTTATCTGTATTGATGTGAATTTTCAACTGAAAAACTTTTACATGTATCTTGAAATAATGATACAAAGTATCGTTGAACATAAAGAAGTAAAACCTAGGACTGGGAATTTAGCTCAGTGGCACTGTACCTGCCTCCCAAGTGCAAGGTCCTGAATTCAATCCCGGATACCAAAAAAAAAAAAAAAAAGAAGAAGTAAAAGCTATCCATTATCTCACTGTTTATAGATCATATTTTATGAACGTACTTGCAAAATGTATAATGCAGTACTATGCATTATATATGTTACATATATTATCAACATTATGAATACACAATTTGGTAAACTGTATTTTTCTTATGTCATTACATCATGCATCTCTTTCCACATTAAATATTTTAATACTATGTAATTTTTGATATTTGCATACGATTCTGGTATATGGTTTTACCATTTTCTAATAACCACGTTGATCTCTAATATAACAACATTCAGCAAACCCATTTATTTGTAAATAGCAAAATCTTTCAATCATTTCTTTATAATAATATATGATAAATATTTATGAAGGATCTGTGAATAATGAGGATATCATTTATGATCCTATATGACTAAAGCTTAGATAGATATTTGTTAGGTTTCTTGTATTTATAATTAATCTCTTTTAATGATATTATTTAGATCTATTTTTACATAAATTTATTTTCTGCCAAGATTATCATTGTTTCTTTACTCCTTTCAGTTACCTTGTATATCTAAACTGTTTTTGGTTGATTGTTATTAAATATCATGGATGTGTTTATGCCAATTATATCTACACTCTAAATTGCACCCTGTGTCCATTTACCATTAAAAACTATGTTCATTTTATGTACAATTGTTGTAAATTGTTTACTCTTGATGATTAAAATTATTATCACTTCTAAAAATAGGCTGATTTTTTATATATCTTTTGGACTACCTTTTAAAAAAATGTTTGACAACAACATATTGGCATAACTTTGACGTTTTCACTTCAGATTAAAGCAAATATGTATATATATATTTTTGAGACAGAGTCTAGCCATGTAGCCCAGGCTAGCTTGGAACTCATGGTTATCCTCCTGCCTCAGCCTCCTGATTGCTGGGATTACAGGGATGCGCCACCATACCTGGCAAATCTATCTATTTTTAACAGAAATAAACAACATTATATGAGAAATAATGTACATATTATATTATTTTATGTAAATTTACATTGGAAAGTTCAATTATTTTTTTTTCACTGAAATTTAGGTATATCCCGTCAATGCTTTTTATAAGGGAGAGCCAGCTAGAATACCTCACCGAACATCTTGTAAGTTATCACTGGACCATTTATTATATCTATATAAATTATATATTAACTATTATAAAGCTATATTATATTAACTATATCCATACTCCCATTACACATTTAAATTATAGCTTCCATAAATATAATATATTAAGGTGTCAAGGGAACTATAAATATAAATGAACATCATATCCAAATGCAATATTTTAATGCAAAGTAGGGAACTCTGTTACTAAAGGATTGTTGCTTTCATAAAATATATTATAAAAGGGTTTATCTACACAGATCATTGTTATAATAATATTTATAGTAATTTTGCAAACTTAATAACTTTTTCTTGTGTATTGTCTAGAGATTGTTATCTTTTTGTCCTTGTCTATCCTGTATTGATTCTGTCCCTGAAACTTGGCTTGTGAGAAGTGAGCCTTAGGTATAATTTTGTTCTGATTTGCCTAATTGAAGATAACATTGCTTAGTGACAATTTGGCTATTTAAAAATATATCATTAATATTTTAAATGTTTTAGTTAAAATAGAGATGTGCATTAAAAAATCCCTTAAATAAAATTTCATTATAATAATGAAAACAACATGTATATGTCATACTCCCTATCCTTTGTGTAGTTCACCAAATAACCACTTTTAACTATTTCTCTTTCCCTTGTTGTTTCTTCTGTGTGTATGTGTGTGTGTGTGTGTGTGTGTGTGTGTCTATGTGTGTGTCTGTGTATGGTATATATTGCTCTTTCTAGAGTTACTAACACAGACCTTTGACTTTTATTGTCTTTTACTTTCTGGCCTGTGATTTATTTCCACTGCATATGTTGCCCCCAAACTTGAGACTCACGTATTCCTAGTAATTAGCATAAATACTTTTTAGCGTGATACTTAGGTTATAGCTTCCTCTCCTCTATTTTCTACTCTTCAAAACTTGTTGAAGTTGCTCTACTTGTAATTACTCTTCTGTCTATTCTCTCTGCCATTATGAGTCAATGTCATTTTCACTTCTTTAATATTAGTGGAGGAAGAAAACATGTGGATATACAAGAGAATATATTTGAAAGTTTGACTATTTTATTACTAATACATTTACATTTATCAAAGCAAAGTCCCATAGTACTTAATAGTTGTGTAGAACCAATCATAGTAATGACTGGATTAGAGCACTGATTTATAATCACTTGGTGTAGTTTCTTGCAAAATGCCACTTGGGGTATTCTGTTTTGCCAGTAATATTTTTCCTTTTAATAATGCGCTTAAGGAAGTACAGTCTACTTATATAATAACAGTCATCTATCCATCCATTCTGTATGTACATCTAGGATAAATACACCCTTAAAGAAAATAAAATCATTCCTACTTTAGAGGTGAAGAAACCTAAGCTTAGATAATTGAATCAATATGTCCTACGTTATAAGTCAAAGAAATGGCTGCCAGAATTCAAATTCAAGTCTTACTGTCTCTACCTAAAATTCATTTTCTACTTTTATATTTCTAGTTATAGAAAATTTGAGCATAAGGTAAAGTGTTTCTAGCATCTATGGCTTGGTGGTATCATTTCCATCTTTCAGCTTATAGAATTGTCTCCTACCCAGTGATCACATAAAAAGCAGGCTTCCCCTACTTCCCACTTTGGTTGTTTTTTCCAAAATTAAGGAAAAACATACAGCTACTTCATTTGTTTGTTTATCTCTCCAAGGTCTAGTTTTCCCAATGCAAATGTGAATTTTGTGAAAACTGATACTTGCCTGGCTTTTGCTGCTGTCTTCCTTTTCACCTTCACGACATTTGTCATCTTCCAACTTACAGTACCATTTGCTTAGTTATTATGTTTATTGTTTATTTGTCTTTCTTTCCTCACTAAAAAGTAAGTTTCATAAAAACAGTGTTTTTGTTTTATCTTCTGTGATGGCATTTAAACATTTCAAGTTTATATTCAATTTTTAACAAACACATAAAAACCTGAAAATTACAAATATTAATGGTGCATGGGACGTTTTGATAAGTGTACTTGTGAAACATGTATTTACTCACATTTATCATTTCTTTATGGTTGAAAGCTTTTAAAATTCATTGCTGTAGCTTTTGGAAAGGTTCAGTACATTATTGCATTGCTATCTGTAATCATGCTCTTATACAATAGCACGCCTGAACTTCGTACTCTTATCTAACTATAACTTAGTGTCCAGTGATCAAACTTCCCCTCTGGTAACCAACACTGTACTCTCAACTTCTGTGGTATCACATTTTTAAAATTTCACATATTAGTGATATCATGCACCATTTGTCTTTGCCTGAGTTATTTCACTTAACACAGTGATCTCCAGTTCTATCCATGTTGTCCCGAATAACAAGATTTCATTGTTTTTATGGAGGAAGAGAATTCTCCATTGTTTATGTATCACATTTTCTTTATTCCTTCATCAGTTGATGATCACTTAGGATCTTTCCTTTTCTTCGTTATTGTGAATAATGCTGCAATAAACATGGGTGTGCAGATGTCTCCAAGACAGACTGGTTTAATTTCCTTAATTTTTGAACAAGCTTCATAGTATTTTCAATCATGACTGTATTACTTTACATTACCATCAGTAGTATGCAAGAGTTTCCTTTCTTGCATATCGACCCTGGAACTAGTCATTTTAATAATAGCAATTATTACTGAGTGATGTGATACTTCATTGAGGCTTTGACTTGCATTTCCTTGATGATTACTGATCTGTTGCCATTTGTATGTCTTCTTTCTAGAAATATCTATTTAGGTCTATTGACCATTTTTAATCAGGTTATTTATTTATTTATTTATTTATTGCTATTGGAAAATAGTTTTTGTGTTTTTGGAATTCCATATATATATATATATATTTAGATATAAGCTCTTTGTCAGACATGTAGTTTGCAAATTCTTTCTCCCCTTCTGTAGGCTGTCTCTTTACTTTGTTGATTATATCTCTTGCTGTGCAGATTGTTTGATGTAGTCCTATCTATTTTTGCCTTCATTTCCTCTGCTTTGGGGGTTTTGTCCAAAAGAAATCCTTGCCCATTCCAGTGTCTAAGTATTTCTCCTATTTTCTTCCAGTAGTTTCATCATTTCAGGTCTTACATTTAAGTATTTAATATATTTTGGAATGACTTTTGTAATTGGTGAGAGATAGAAGTCTAATTTTATTTTTCTTCTGGATGTGGGTATCCAATTTATTCAGCATCTTTTATTGAGAAGACTGTCCCTCAATGTTCTTACCAACTTTGGCAAAAAGCAGTTGGGTACAGATGCATGGGTTTGCTTCTAGGCTGTCTGTTATTGGTCTGGGTGTCTGCATTTATGCCAGTATCATGCTGTTTTGATCACTACAGTTTGTAGTATAGTTTGAAGTTGAGTAAAGTACTGCCTCCTGCTTTGTCCTTTTTGCTAAAGGTTATTTGAAGGTTTTGTGGTCTATATAAATGTGAAATTGTTTCTTCTCATTCTAGGCAGAATTTCTTTGGTATTTTGATTGGGATGGCAGTAAATCTGTAGATTACTTTTGCTACTGTGGACATTTTAACAATATTCATTCTTCCAGCCTATGAGCATGAGATGTCTTTCCTCTTTTGTATTCATTGTAATTTCTATATCAGTCTACTATAATTTTCATTATAGAGATATTATACCTCTTTCATTATATCTATTTCTAGTTTTTTATTGTTTTTTTATTCTCCTGTTTTGAGATAAGGTTTTGCTATGTTGTCCAGGTTGATCTCAAATGCATAATCCTCCTGCCTCAGCCTCCCAGTTAGCTGGGATTGCAGGTACACATCATTGCATCTGGCTTGTAGCTCTTTTAAACAGAATTCTTTTCTTGATTTTTATTTCAGATAATTTGCTATTGCCATATAGCAGTGCTGCTGATTTTTGTGTATTTATTTAGTTTTCTGAGATATGTTAAGTATCTAGAGAGGTGTTTGGCAGATGATAAGACTCAAAAATATGGTTAGGCTCCAGGGAAAAAGGAACCTTCCTACAATGTTGGTGGGAATGTAAACTAGTACAACCATTATGGAAATCAGTATGGAGAGTCCTCCAAAAACTAAAACTAGAACTTCCATTTGACTCAGCTATTCCCCTTCCAGATATGCCCCCAAAGAGTTAAAGATATCATATCACAGTGATACATGAATACCCATGTTTATAGCTGCACAATTCATAATAGCTAAATCTGAATGGAAAAAGAAAATATATTATTTGCATATAATAGAGTACTACTCTGCCATAAAGAAAGATAAACTTGAATCATAATTAGTAGGAAAATGGACACACCTTTGAGGCTATAATGTGAAATAAATCAAACACACATGGGTAAACATTGCATAGTTTCTTTTATACGAGAAACTCAAAATATAAATAAAGAGCAAAATAAAAGATAAATAATAAGAAGCAGGGAGATTGATCTTTCTCAAATGAGAATGGGATTAAGATATGGGTGAAGAATATGAAAAAGGGAATGAAGACATGCTATATGCATGTACCAGCTCCTCATAAGCAGTGTCAACATTGTGTGCTGCAAACATGCTAATAAAAATAAATAAAAATTTAAAGTATTGTTTGGATTAGTGAATGATTAGTACTTACTGTATTCCAAGCATTGTACTGTTTATTGTGAATCAACCTACTTAAGCTCATTGTAGGAATTAAGCACCAGAGATACAAAGTAATAAGGATTCTGGGAAAGTTCTCAACTAGAATGTTGTGTAACTAGAATTGGAACCTAAGCCTCTGGAGCTGAGGACCTTGAGTCGTTGCTTTATTCTGTTGCACTTTCACTGTCTGCCAAGTATAATGTTCTAATTCAGGGCAAAGACATTTCTGGTACACCCCTTCTCAGCCCATTCCACATGAAAGGATGTGATTTCACATTGAACCGTAGAGAAAATTTAACTCAGGGCATTACTGTCGAATGACATATTTTTTTGTCTTTTGGTTAATTGATTTCATATCTCAGGGAGCTTATAAGGGGGTTTATCTTTGTGGGTTAGAAGGCTTTCTGCTTCTCTTAAGAGGCAGCTCACTTCTGCATACCAAGTTAAATAATATGCATCTCTCTCTGAAAATCATAACTGGATTACCTACTTGATCCTATTTAAATGAAGTGACTGAAAGAATTAAATATAATGATATTATCCCATGAAAGAATATTATTTAATGGAGGAAAGGAACATAGTCATTTATTTTCTAATTATTCTCTTTAAATATAAATGATTTCATGTGTTCTGAATAATGTAGCCAGAGTCACACAATTAGGAATTTATTGTATTTGGTCTTATTCTGAAATTTTTATATTTGAAAACTTGACAGGGAATTAAAATATTAAAATGTAATTTCTTTAAAAGTGATTATTCAATCTAGCAAATATATGACACAATAAACTTGCCTCATGTATTATTTTCTATTTCTAGATAATTCCAAAGTACTGATTGCATTTCTGGTATTTCTGATTATTGTGACATCGATAGCTCTGCTTGTTGTTCTCTATAAAATATATGATCTGCACAAGAAGAGATCCAGGTAAGAACTGATATATGAATTAACACATAATGGCAGTAATAACAACCAATGTCATAGCTCAAAGGCAGGGAGGGAACCACAGGAAAAGAGGACAACCCAAAGTCCAGTTCAGAACTGACCTTGAATTGAAGACTTTTATTATGGTGTTTTGGATTTAGGTTAGATATTCATATTCTCTGAATTTGCTAATAATGTTAGACTTATTTTACTAAAGACAGATAAAAACAATGTGCCTGTTCTTTTAGTATACAGTGGGTCAGGGTGTTCTAGAAATGGCAAAAGCAAAACAAAGGAAGGAATTTCTGGGAAAAGGAAGATTGAAATAATATGGTTTAGTTATTTATGTGAAGTCATCTCAGCACACACTCTCGATTGGTTTGGTCCTCTCTCGTTTTTTTCTTGACTTCCCTCCTCGTCATTCTCTTACCTCAACACCTTTCCTTTCTTTGCCATCTTTTCTGTCTTCTTTCCCTCTTGTCTTTTCCCTCTTCCTTCTTCTCCTCCTATCCTTTTCTCTCTTCCCTGTCCATCCACTTTGCCTCCATTTTTCCTTCCTTCAATGCATTCATTCAATAAAATTAACTCAATTAAATAGAATGGCAACTAAATTCAATGTTTCTAAAGAATGTAGAAATATATATTTCTTATTTTTCACAGCAACTTAGATGAAGAACAGGAACTTGTTGTAAAAGGTAAGTATGCATATTTTTTTGCTGATGACTATTCCCTATTCTCATTTGAGTTTACTTATTTTTAAAAAAGAATTGGGCATTTAAAGTTAACCTGGCTTCTTCTGCTGATACAATGATGAAGTGCAAATTCATTTATCCAACAAACAAGCATCTGTGAAGTTCATCCTATGTGTCAATATGGCCCAACAAACTAAGCAACTACGGTGACTACCACAGACTCTACTCTTGAAGGAGTTAGGAACTAAAAGAGGAAGACAGCTAGATCAACAAATTAGGCATGAATTTATAAACATCATAGTAGTTGAATGTTTCTAGTTTTATACAAAGAGAAAACTGACTTTGGGGAGAATGTTAATCATGTTTGCTAAGATTGTGGGGCACACAAGACCAAATGAAGAATGAAAGAGGGAAGTGCAGAATGCAAGTCAGTCACAGGGATGAGGAAGTGCTAACTCAGGTCCTCAGGTCCTCAGGTCCTTGCTAGGGTGGGATGGTGGCTGCTCCCCCTATCAACACAGTTACAGACAGGACAAAGAACAGCAAGTTGACTTCAAGCAAAACAATATTCCTTTTTTAAAAAAATTCAATTTTTACATTATTTCTTTAATCTTTAAAGACATAATCGAGTAAAATGAGTTCGAATTAAATAATTTCCGTCTATGTTTACAATAATGAAATGCATCTGATTTCTTTTAATCAAGACAGGAAAATTTTTTTTAATAAAATGGAGTACTGCTCAGCCATAAAGAATGAGAAACTAGAGACATTTATAGTTAACTGGAATCACATTGAGGTGATCCTCTTAAGTGAAATAAATAAGGACAAACGTGTAAATACTGAATAGTTTCTCTGGTGTGAGAAACTGAAAGTGTAAATAAGGATCAAAATGTATAATAGATAATGTGAAATAGGAAGAAAAGGTCCAAAGGGGAAGGGGAAGTAGGAGGTGTAGGGGAAAGGAAGACGGGAAAGGAATAAATATGAGGAAAGGAAAAAACAGAAACAAAGTCTTTATAAATAGGGAAGGGTGGAGGGTTGAAGGGAGAGCAGGGGAATGGGGAAAAAAACAAGAACCAAGATATGTCATGTAAAGGCACAAATTCCCAATGATGGATCTAACTGTATTATATACCTGAAATGTACCAATAAAATTAATGAATTAAAAAAAAAGGAGAGGCAGAATTCAGAAGTCCTTCATCTTGTATTAGCTTATATTCAAAGGGGCTTTCTCCGTGACAGCAGGTACCAGTCTGTGTACAGAACTGAAGTCCTTTGGCTTTCTCTCTTTCTTTCTCTCTTTCTTTCT